AAGGTGACTCATCAGGGATCCCAGGGTCCCAAAGAGACAACACGGGGATTGTGGCTTCTGGTGAGGCCCAGCCCTTAGTCTCTTCCTAATCCCCACTTAGCCTAGTCGGTAGCAGTCCACTGTAGACACGGAGTCCCTTTTGTATGAACCCAGCCCTGTGGGAGAGCAGAGCCACACAGGATGAAGGCCACTTGGCCTCCTGCAGCATATTCCAGCCACCTGGGATGAGCTTGCACCTGCCAGGCGGTGCCTTCCTCTGTGCCTTTGCTCAGGCTGGGGCATCTGCCAGGTGTACCCTCACCGTCCCTTGCCCCAGCACACACACGTTCATGTACCCACATGTGTGCCTTCTCTGCAGGGCTAAGGGTCTGGTACCTGCTCACCTCCAGAGCCCCACCCAAGCCTTTTTCACCTCTCTCCCACCTCTTCGTGCACAGTGTGGCACATGGTAGGCGTTCAGTGAAGTCGCAACCAAAGATCCAGTCCAGCCCTCAGAGACCTGGTTCCCACCTAGCAGGAGAGACAGATACAAACAGGTCAGTGACAGGGCTACACGTCCAAGGATGGAGTCAAGTGTGGGATGCCCACAGAGCAGGGAGCTCCCGTCCCGTCTCTAAGACTAACCGAACCCCTACTACGCTCCTGAAAACTCTGCCATCTCCTTTCAGTCCTCCCAGGACGAGGCAGTGGGGTTACAGGTGAAAAAAGAGGCTCAGACAGCCAGATATTGACAGGTCACATGGCTGCCCAGGGCACCTTGGCCATTCCAACTCCAAAGCCCCACGCCTTCTCCAGGGAGGAAAACTCAGGTACCCGGGGACCACGCAGGTAACATGAGGAGCAAAGCCACTGCAGCCACCCTCAGGACACATCAGCCCAGGGGTTCCAGCACTGCCAGGTTTGGGTTTTTCCTCCAAGAGAACACAGACAGTAAGAATTTTAGGTAGAATTCTAGTTTTTATTTTTCTTTTGGACATTGGCAAACACATCACAAGTGTTTTAATGCAGCGAACAGGGCAAAGAAAAAAGGTGTGGGCAGATTTGCGCCCTTTAATGACCCTGTATTGTCTGGGTGAGGAGCATGCTGGGGGTGGGTCTCAGGATGGCTTGCCTTCCCCATCCCCGGCCAGCAAGAGCCCCTGGAACCCAGTGGCATCTCCCCGAGCCCCTCAAGACACCCCCAGCCACCGCCTTCGCTCCCAGAGGCAGGAGGCAGGGCCCGAGCCCCACGAGGGCACCACCCAAATAGCTATAATCAGCAGCCTCGCCAAGACTTCAAACTCACCCAATTATCCTGCGAGGGAAAAAAACCACAAAATGAAAACAAATTAACATGTTTGCATAGAAGCCGCTGCAGCAACACACACAGACGCGCGCACGCATGCACATGCTGGCGCATGCCCCAGCAAGGCTGGGAGACGCCGCCGCCACCTCCGCTCTCCGGGCCTGGCACCCACCTGGACCAAAATACGGGAGCAGGCCTAGCGGCCAGCTTGTCCCCAAACCTGACTGGGCACTGACTCCCTCTACCAGCTTTCAGTTTTTCATCTTTTCAATTTAATAAACACATTCAATTCATTGTGTGCCAAAAATTCCACTGCACCAATCTGTGAGGTAGGTATATTATGAGCCTCTTTCTACAGATGGGACAGCTGAAGCACAGAGAGGTTAGTTGCCCTGCCTGAGGCTGCACAGCTAGCACGTAGGGGAGCCAGCTGGGGATTGAACCCAGACAGGCCACTTCCAAAGTCCCTGCCATGACCACTGCGCCTTCTCTGTGGCTCCATCTTGCCTGTGGGTGGTGTGCCAAGGCCTCAGTCTGCCTTCGAGGCCCCTCCTAACCCCTCCAGCCTGCGTCCACTCTTCCCTTGCCCACGCCACCCAAACAGCCCACTCTTACCCTACAGGCTGGCTCTCCTCAGGCTGAGGGGCTGTTGGTGTGATGATGATTACTATGGAGCCAGGTGAATGTGGATTCAAATCCCTGCTCCACCAGTTTCTCACCAGATGGCTTTGGGCATGTAGCTTTGCTTCTCTGTGCCTCAGGTCCACCCCCCCACACTAAAATGGGATAACCAAGGAGGTGAGGAAGATTCTGCAGGCGAGTGGCTACCTGCAAGGTACTACCTCTGGCGCCTGCCCAGGGGTGAGAGGGTTCCTCCAGCTCACACCGTTCATTTAGTGCCACAAGGCCCACCTCATCAGACTCACCGAACCCCTGTTGGTGCCTTTGGGCTCCATGCCAGGCGCCGCACTTGCCCTCAGGACACACAGACAAGGAGCTCAGATACTCCTTTTTCTGGGAAACAGCCTGTCCTTGGAAGGACCCCTCTTCTGTGGGCCCCCTGAAGCTCTGTCTGACCCGGGATTGGGGTTGCGTGGGCGTGTGTCTGATCATCTTGGCCGTGTTTGATTTTTCTCTGGGCTCCTGCAGCTTGGCACACCACAGGTGCTCAGGCAGGGTTTGGTGACTGCACTCGTTGGAGCATCTCCTCTCACTCTCAAGGCACATTTGGGGCCTTGTGCCTGGTATTAAAGGATAAACTGCTGGAAGGAATTGGGGTTTAAGTCCTGGGGTTCAAGGATCCCCGGCCGCCTCCCCTGCTGCTTTGTGACCGCGGGCAAATCGCTTCACCCCTCTGAGCCCGTCACTGTCATCTCCTGGGGTGAGAGCTGGGCGGGCAGTTCACGAGTGCTACACTGCACGTGTTCATCACCACTTCATCCTCACGACGGCTGGTGAGGAAAGTGTGGTTTCTACTTCCATGATTCATATGGAGAAACTGAGTCCCCAAGGGACTTGGTGGCTTACTCAAGACCGCCCTGCTAGTGAATAGCAGAGCCAGGGTTCAAACTGAGTTCTGGGTTTTTGCCTTAGCTGAGGTGCTGTTTCGCCCTTCCTAGACACTGTCTGTCAGGAGCCAGACGGGCAGTGCCTTGTGGGTCTGGAGAATGAGGGCTACTAGGATGCTGTGGTGGTGGCGGGAGGGGTAGCTTAACTGGCTGCAGGATCACCCCTTTGGCATGCTGGGGAGGTGACCCAGCACCTATCCCAGGAGCAGCTGGTCCTGTGGGACATTGGGTGCCCACTCGGAATCCAGCCCTCCCACAGCACAGCCATGCCCTGGGCTTTAGAGTCCAGCAGACCTAGTTCGCATCCTGACCCCACTAGGTGCAAATCCTGTTCCTCTCGGAGCCTCTGCCCCTGCTGGAGAATGGGAGGCATGGATGTATTCACACTCAAGAGAAGGGCTTCCAGCTCCATGTGAGCTGAGGCGTGGCACCTGGCACACAGTTGCTGCTCAGTGGAGCCACCCCCTGCCCAGACCTTCTGCAGGAGCGGCCTCTCCCTTATCCATGGAGCCCTGGAGCCTCCATGACACAGGCTGGGGGTGGGGCTTGTGTTGCCTGGTGGGTGACGCTGGGCCCAGAGGAGGCTCTTGCCCCTTCGCTGCTAGCCCTGCCCCTCTGCTCTCTGAGGCCTGGGTGTTCTGGGTGTGTGGAGGGGTTTGTTGGGTTGAGGCGGCAAACTGCAGGGAAAAGAGCGGGGAGAGACCCTGGAATGTGAACCTGGACCCTGCAGGGAGTGTGGGAAATAAAGGTCCCAGCCCAGCTCTCTGTCTGTTCAGGTGGGATTTATTGAGCATCTACTGGCCTTGGAGCAGAAAGAGACCAGAGAGACCAGAGACCACAGCCTTCTCACTGCTGTACACCCTGGGCAAGCCACACAGTCTGTGGACACAGCCTTCTCACTCAGGGCTGTGGTCACATCACAGTACGAGGATGTTTGTTACTCGGTGGTTGAGAGTGCAGGTCTAGAGCCCCCCCCACCAACCCCTGGGGGTAGGGCAAGGGCCACGTCCAGTGGTCATCGTGAAGCTGTGTACAACCCCCTCACACCTATGCTTCTGAGGCTCTGAGTGCAGAGGCTGAGGGCTGGGTGGGAGGAGGTTCTTTCCCCCTCATTACGAAAATCATGTTCATCTTTTAGTATTTGGAAATAAGTCTGACAAAGAAAAATTCAGCCGACATCTAACTGGCCAGAACTAACACTTGGTCCCATGTGGGAACATTCTGCCCAGGTGCTGGGCATTCGGGGAGTGTCTGGCCCCAGGAAGGGCTGCTCTGTGCTAAGCCTCTCCTGGGCTACTGGGTGTCACCTGCCCGCCCGCCTGCCTGCCCAGCAGCCCATTGTCTGGCATGTGGGGGCGCGGAGCAGCCGTTGTTCTGCGCACATCTGATCCTGTCTTTTCCACATCAGATCATTTGTAACCGTCACCAGGCAATCGGGCCCATTGCTGATTCCATCTCGGCTTTGTGCTGTCACAGCCGTTTTTCTGCGCCGGGCTGATTTTGAAAGGAGACCCATCCTCTGGGCCCACTTTTCAGAAGGAGGGGAGGTGGGTGGGGGGAGCTGTGTGTGTGTGTGTGTGTGTGTATATATGCAGGACACATTCCCCACACACATGTATACACACACAAACACATTCCACTGCTACATCTCATCACCTAGAGTAGAATTTGGAATAAGGTAGATGGATAAGGGCCTCAGGCCAGGCCCGTTATCCCCACCTCTGTCCCTGACCACCTGCCAGAGAGTGCCTACTGTGTGCCCCATCGTGCAGACACAGTAGAACCTGCACTCTGGTGGAAGAGACAGGCACTAACCACTCATCAAGATAATTTCGGAGCAGTCATGACAGTGAAGGAACTGCTGTGGTGACGGGACAGTGGCCAGGGCAGAAGGTTGCCAGCTTGACCAGGTGGTCAAGGAGGGTCTCTCAGAGGAGGTGATGTTTGAGCTGAGGTGTGAATGGGAAACGGAGCTGGCATGGAGAGTGGGGGAGGGGTGTGCACTGGGGACAGTGTGGTGTTGCACTGTCCACAGGTGGCATTGAGCGTTTGCAGTGAGACAAGTCTGAACTGAACTGAGATGTCCTATTGGCGTAAAATTCATCCCAGGTTTCAAAGACTTAGAATAAAAATAAGAACATAAAATATCTCAGGAATTAATTTTAATATCGATTACACATTGAAGTGATACTATTTTGGATCTATTGGGTGAAATAAAATATATTATTAAATTTAATTTCCTCTGTTACTGCTAGAAAATTTACAAGTACATATGAGGCTCCTGTTATTACATATTTCTATCAGACAGCAGTGGTGTAGGGTATTTAGGTAGAGGGAAAACCGTAAGTGCAAAGGCCCTGGCATGGGGCCGGTGTTGGCCTGTGAGAGGACCAGAAAGAAAGCCAGTGTGTCTGAGCAGAATCAGCACGGGACAGGGACAGTGCAGATACACATCGGGAAAGGGATTCACACAGGTCCTTCAAGGATGTTGTTAGAAATGCCACGGAAGACTGGCGGAATGGCTCATACCTATAATTCCAGCACTTAGGGAGGCTGGGGTAAGAAGATTGCTTGAGGCCAGGAATTCGAGACCAGCTTGGGCAACATAGCAAGATCCCATGTCTACAAAAAATAATGAGCTGGGTGGGGTGGTGCCAGACTGTAGTCCCAGCTGCTTGAGAGGCTGAGGCAGGAGGATCACTTGAGCCCAGGAGTGAGCTGCAGTGAGCCATGATCATGCCACCGTACCCCAGCCTGGGTGACAGGGCAAGACCCCATCTCTAAAAAAGAAACAAAATGCCACGGAAGCCAGTAAGTGAGCTCTAAGCAGGAGAGATGTGTGCTACACACAGAAAGGCTTGGTCTGGCTCCCATGGGGTAGAGATTGGTGGCAGGGGAACGATGGGGCACAGGGACGGGCAGGAATCTGTTGTAGAAGAGTCACTGCCGGGACCTGCTGGTGAATTGGCTTCACCGGATCTGGCTCTGCAGAAAGCTCACTGCTTCCTTGGCTCCTGGATTTCCAAGCCGCTGGGGCTTCCTGTCTCTCCCCACGACCCGTCTCCACCTCCCCAGCAGCTGTTCCCTGTCATGTCAGTGCATTTACAATGAGCGCCAGTCTCCTGTCTCCAGGTGGTCAGAGGTTGAAATCCCTTTTGAAAAGTTCTTTAAAAAAAAAAAAGAAAAGAAAAAAAGAAGTGATGCTAGTTCATTGTGGAAAAATTAGAGATACAGAGAAGCACAAAGAAGAAAAAGAAAATTCCCCAGAGTTAACCATCAGTCGCTAGGCTATGATGGGGAGGGGGTTGAACCCAGGCGGTCTGGCTCCAGCACTTTCTAAATCAGAGTGCCTGTGGCCGGATGACATGGAGGGAGCTCCCTGACCATAGGAGGAGTTAGAGACATGACGCCCCTCTACCCTCACTCACAGAAGAGGTGGAAAGCTGGAGACTAGTCCACATATAGGTGGTGAGTGGCGTTTGACTCTTGGAGATTTAAATAAAACAAATATTGAGAGAGCTCATGAACTCTGGGATGTGGAGTGATGGCGCTGTCATTTGGGCCGAGTGTCCTGTCCTGTTTCCTAACCCCTGCCTCGAAGGCTCCGTTCATATCTGCCCCAGCCTGACCCCCAGAAGCATCTACTGATCTTAGCATTGGGCTAAAAGCTAAGGCCAGCCCCTGCCTGTCACTTTTGTCCACTCTCCTCCCCTGACCTGGGCCACTCTCATCTTTTAAACACTCTTGGGCCATTCTTGCACACAGACCCGGTCTTCTTCCTCCCCGTCCCTTGCGACCTGAATCCTCAAACCCGTCTGGCCCAGGCCACCCTCTTCCGTGGGACTTTCTTGCCTGCTCCACCAACCAACCAGCCCCGTGGCCCTGGATAGCTCCTTTCCCTCTCTGTTTCCTTGCGGGTACAGCGCCAATCATCTCTTTCTCCCGGTTGTGGCGTAGGTTACGTGAGGTGATGTCTGTAAAGTACTGAGCCCATGGAGAACACTAAAAATAAAAGCTAGCTCTTATTATTGCTCTTACTATTAGATTTTTCTCCTTCCCTGTTGCCTGCTTTAACCCTGAACTGTGGGTGCAGGGACTGGGGGAATAGGTAGGAGGAAGGCTGGAGATACCGGGCCCCTCCCATCTCCACTGTGGGTCCTACCTTTGCCCGTTGCACACAGTGTTCCATTTTCCGGGATCCCAGTGTCATCTGGTGGCATCCCTCCTTCCCTCTTTTGGTCTCCATTTCCATGTTTTTCTCCAGAGAGATTCTAGGACCACCTCTAAAAAAAAAAACTGGGCGGGGGGCTTTCGGCTGAGCTCCCAGCCCCATTATGGCATCGTAGTACTGAAGCTGTTCAGTATCAATTCTCAGATCTCCCCACTCCCTCTTTGCTGGAAGGTGACGATGGAGTCTTACTTGACTGACAATTTTAATTAAAGAGCCAAGGCTGGAACTGGGAGAACAGAGGCTCAGCCTGCCCCTGCTCCAAACTTCGCACCTTGGGATCTCTGGCTCTCCGGAAAGAGTAAAACTGCCCCTCAGAGGTCTGTGGCTCTGGGAGAGGGCCAGCCAGGCCCGTTGCCAGTGGCAATGACTGCCCCTTCTCCCAGCACCTTCTCTGAGTCCCTGTCCTGAACCAGCACTAGTGCAGAGGAAACAGATCTCCCCGCCGTGAGGTTGGTGGGGGGTCCCTGCCTGGCCCTGCATAGATGAGGTGCTCTCAATGACTCACCAGGAGGGTTTGCTCTCCAGCAGCCTGGAGCTCCTTCATGTTCTCTATTTGCTCCTCTCTCAAGTCTCCATGTGGTGGCCTGTGCAGTCCCTTCTGTGGAATCCTCCCCTTTCGCTGGCTTTTTCCTGCTTACCTGTTAATAACAACTGTAAACAGTGCTAACAACGGGTACCACTTAGGCAGCTACCACAAGGACCCTGGCACTTTGTTGTAAGGAATTAACCCCATTTTGCAGATGCGGAAACTGCGGCTCAGAGAGGAGGGAGGGATTTGCCCAAGCTCACAGAGTTAAGTTATAAAGCTCACACATCCGGATGTGAAGTTGGGGACAGACACTGTCTGAGGCAGCTGGTGTGTCCTTCCATCTTGACCCTCCCACCACCAGGCCAGGTAGGGTGACCCCATCATGGCCACCGCTTGTCTCCCTGCCTTGTGATTACCCCTCTGATGCCTCCCATCCACTCAGGGTCTGTCACTACCCCAGCATCTAGCACAGGGCCTGGCCTGGCACATAGTTGGTGCTTAATCTGTCATGCCATCCCCAGTGGTTGGAGTGCTGACGGAGGCACATTGCAGTTGTCAGTTCCCATGGCGACTGACATCACTACGCTCTCAGGCTGTGCCCTGCCCCTTTCTCCAGGGCTCCTGCGCCGGGAGCTGGCCGTGGTGCTGACAGGCCCAGGAATGGCCACCCACCCCCAGACCCCAGCCCTGTGTCCCAGTAGGATACTTCCTGAGGCCCGCCCTGCCCCGACTCGCCAGGACAGCCTCTTGCCCATCCTTTGTTCAGGAGACATTTTCCTGAGGGCCCCTGTGCTCAGCTATAGCACCTTGAACCCATAGAGGAAGGATCAAGGAGAGCCACATGGGACTCCAGTCATTTGATGATTCATCAAACATTTATTATGCACCTTGTATGTCTTGGAGAAGCCCTCAGGAACCTGGACTCCAACTGAAGGTCGAGTAGAGTTTTAAGGGGTAGAGAGCCAGGAAGAATTGCTCAAAAGCCCTTTCTGGCTCTTGGGATTGCATGGGCAAAAGCCTGCAAGCGTGCCGGTGAGAGGCTTGTGCAGAGGGAAGCCCACCTCAGGATTCTGGCTGCCAGCCAGAACTGGTGATTGTCACTTTACTTTTTGGTCTCCCCTTTGGCTCAGAACTACTGGCATCTCTGGCTCCAGTGCCCAGCCCAGAACCAGGCACAATGGAGGGGTGTTGGAGCCAGGCAGGGGATTGGCATCTTTGTCCTGGGAACCAAAGAGCCAGGTATGCTCTGTGACCAGATTCGCAGCATTTTAGAGAGCCCCTGGCCTGCTGGTGGGCAGGGGGTGGATACAGTGGTAATCCTGGCAGAAGATGAGGCCTCTTATTCAAGGGGACAGTCCCTCCCCAACCCCAACCTTAAAAAAAAAAAAAAAAAAAAAAGTAAAAATCCCCTTCTGGTGCTGAGGCCCAAATGGCAGTGGGAAATAATCACTTTTCACAGGCCCCTTATCCACAGCCAAGCCCTGTGCCAGTTTAATCAGCAGTGCCGGTGTGACTTGAAGAATCCCCGGCTTGAGAGATCAGGAGAGGGGTTAAAGAAAATTACCCTCGCCTCCTCCATGCTAATGTAATCTCTAACCAGATCTGCCTAGCCGCAGCTCAAATTGCTTTTTAGATTAACATTTAATTATTAACAGGGTCCCTTGGAAGGCCTCCGGCTCAGAACAGAGATGGGGGAGGGAGCTGCAGGAGGGAGGTGGGGATGGGCTTCCACTCTGGCTGCCTTGCTGAGACAAGTGGGATGGGAGAGAGAGGAAGGAGCAAGGGAGAGGGGTCAGGAAGGGAGAAAGAAAGCAGGAAGGAGAAGGGAGGCATCAGGACAGGAGGCAGATGGAGCTAGGGACAGGGATGTAGACAGAGGAGAGGAAAGAGACAGACAGTGGATCTTCCTATCGTGGGATCCCCACAGGGGGTTGGGGGAAGCTTGCACCTAGATTCCTGAGGACATTCCTGGGCTGGGCAAGGGTCCCTCCACTCTTCTGGCCAGAAGCAGGTTTACTGCCCCTCGCTATTTAGAGAGGACTGGACTTTCTGGGGCTTTCTTCCTGTTCAGCTCATGGTGCTAGGGACCAACACAGAGAAGTGACCCATTTAGGGCCACATCGCCAGGGTCTGACCCCAGTATTCCCAGTCCAGCATTCATTCTCTTCCCTGGGCCCTGGGCCTCCCACCACCACTTCAGGCTCCTGTCTGCCTTTGGGGCAGGCTGCGTGGCCAGGCAGCATGAAGAGACTTGAATTACAGCCAAAGGGATGGAGGTGAGAACTGCGAGAGGGCTCCCTCACCACCCACCTATCCTGCCACCACCCCCAGGAAGGCTGCAAGGCCCTGAGGAGTGGCCGGCATCTCATTCATTTCCTGAAAGGAAATTCAGAGTCTGAACCATCTACTCTACTCCTTGCATGAACTGCCGAGTTTTGCCAGCTTCCTGTCTTGTCCCTGCTTGAGATTCTAAGTCCCTCAAAGACAAGGGCTACATCTAGAGCCCCTTTGTGTGCCCACAGGTCAGGGACCGCCCCACGCCTTGCACACAGCTGGATTAAGTTTGAAAAATAAATGGTTGCATCCTCTTATGTCCAAGCTAGATGGCCCTCGTACTATCAGCTGATCCATTCCCCATAAAGGTTCATTTGGGAAACAGACTCAGAGAGGTGCTATGACTTCTTCAGGTCACCCAGCCAGTGAGAGCCCCAGTTATCACTGTGCCCCTGCCTGGCAGGTACAACCCAGAGTCCTCTGGAGCCAGCTCTCTTCTCTGAACTAGTCCTGTTGGACACCAGGAAGGGCCTGGCATGACCTTCCCCTCCAGGTCACAGCTAGGCTTTGGCCTTGAATGGAGCCACAGAAGCCAGGTAGGTAGCTCTAGGGATTGGAGGTGGAGGAGGAGATGGGGGCTCAGAGGGGCACAGCCCATGGCTTTCCCGGGGTCACAGCCTCAGGGCCCTGCTGTGAAGTCAGGTGTGTCCTCCTATTCTGCCTTGGGGTCAGTCCAGGCTGGCAAGGGGCAGACTGCTGACCTGCGGACACGTGAGGGAGAGTTCCAGATGCCTGCCACATCAGGAAAATGCTGGAGGCAGAGAGAGGTCAAGATCATTCATTTTAATGGGAGGTCAGTTCTGGCTAGATGTTCCTTTCTGGCAGGACGCTTTGAGTAATTTCTGTTCTCCCAGTACATGGCACAGGGCTGGCACCCAAAAGATGTTTGGGAAGTGTTTGCTGCCTAAATGAATGCATGGGTGGGTAAGAAGCAAGGCCTGGGCTTTACTCACCTCAGTGTTGTTCTGCCCAATGCCGGCCTCATGAGTTGCGCTCCTTGAATGTTTATGGGATGAATAAGTGGACTCTGGGAGCCCTTCCCCTCCTCTCACCCCTTACTTCTGTGATCCCTCCCACAGTAGAATCAAAATGGATTTGGGTCCTGGGGAGAAGTAGACCCTTGCTTCCATCCCTTCCTGCCCAGCTGACTGGGAGCTGAGGGCTGACGGGCGCCCAACCACAATGGAACTGCTGGACAGTGTGGGGCTGAGGGTCTGACTGGCGCTGGCATCCTTGGGCTGTGCTATCTAAAAGCTGTGTGACCTTGCACAAATTGCTTCCCCTCTCTCTGGCCATTTCCTAAGCTGTGAAATGGGGCCACAGAGGCCACGAGGAGGAGGTGCATGGGCTTGGCACGAGGTCAGTCAATACATGCTGACTGTACTGAGCCCCCAATTGCATGTTGCTGTTTCAGAGCTTCCCCTCCCACTGACCCGTGGGCTCCCTGATGCCCCCTGCAGCCAGACAGGCAAGGGCAAGATGACAAAAGGCAGGCAGGGCCCAAGGCCCCAATTCCCTATTCTTTCCATAAAAATAGAGACAGCCTTCTCTCATTCATTGTTCTGCTAAGGCGAGCATCACAGACTCAATTCCTCCTCGGACCTGGAAAGTTCCTTCCTTCCTTTCCCCTCCCCTGTCACATTTCCTTTATCTAAATCCTCAGCTATGAAAGGACACATCGACAGCTGGGGGCGTTATCTGGTGGAGGGGACCTTTTCCTCGGGTGTCTCCGAGATAAGGCGTCTTATCAGCCCCCATGTCAGGGAAGGTGCCAAGCATTCTAATCATTGAGGCATGCGACATTTTCCCCCTCCCTGCTCCCCTCCTTTTTTATTAAAGTCACAAAAGACCTTGAGCTTATAAACAGTCTGATTTGCAGATAGGGTTTCAAAATGAACAGCACTCCCTGGATGGTGCTTGGCCAGGGGGGTAATGAGTCCAGGTGGGGGCTCTGAGAGGCTGGCCTCCGGCAGATGGGATGATGCCAGGCAGGGAGGGGGCAAGGTAGGGTCACAGAAAGAACATGAGTGTCTTAGGCATATGCCTCAGTCCTGTCCCTGCCTTGCTGTGTGACCTTGTTTGGGACACTTGGCTTCTCTGGGCCTAGGTCACTTTATTGGACAATAACCAATTCATTGATTCAGCCATTCATTCAACACTTTTTATTAAATGATTATTCTTGCCAGGCACTGGGGAGAGACAGACAAACAACACACGGTCCCTACCCCTAAGAAACACAGTCCAGTGGAGGGAGAGAGATGTGAAAGTTGGCAGTTACACCTCGATGTGATTAGAGCAGAAATGCTGGATATCTAGAGGAAGGGACGGGTGAGCAAGGGTCTGAAGACGGATCTGAGTTCGAATGGATCAGGGTCATGGTGCCATAGGCAGGAGAACCAGCAGGGACAGAGGACTGGAGGTGTGAGGCAGCCTGGCTGGAAGGAGGGCCAGGGGTAGCCATGAGAGAGATGAGGTGTGGTGGGCAAAGAGGGCTGGGCTCCACGCTGGGGCCAGAGAGGTTTTAAGGCCAAGGAGGGGGATTTGACTGTCTTGGTTGCAGATGATAGGGATGATACAGGAGTTGGAGGTGGTGGTCCCCTCTCCACTTCCCTTCTAGGACACCCCACTACCCTGCCACGTGCCCCCAATGGCAGGACACAGGGTTCCTGGAAGAATGGGCAGTGAGTTGGGGGAACTGGGGGTACAGAGAGAAAAACGTCCCTCTTCTTCAAGTGAAGAGCATCTCTCAGGCTGCCTGTAGCCCTCCAGAAGCAAGGAATGGGAGGATGCAGGCAACTGCCTGGTGAAGCTGAGCCAAAGCTGAGGCCTACACTTGGACACCATTGCACCCTGGAAACCCCCGCGCCCTGAGCTCAGTCGGGTGACCTCTCTCAGCTCCAGAACTGCCTAGCATCCACCATAAGAGCACCTGACAACCAAAGCCCCCCTGGGAAGGGAGCTGATGGGGTACCAGGAGGCTCCGGAATAGGCGACCTGCCCCTCCCCCAACAACTGCAGCCCCCAGCCCACCCTTTTTCACCTGCAAAGCATGTGGAATGTATGGCCCAAGGGGCACTAGGGCACATAGAGAAGGGCTGGACTTCTGGACCGCTGGCACCGGGTAAAAGGCTGGAGATAGGACTGGGCATGGCCACGACTCTGGAAGAAAGTGACCTGGGAGTACCCATAGGGATCATGGAGCCACTGTTACAGGCCAGAGAGGGTCATTAGCCCAGCCGGGGTCACACAGCATGTGCTGGGAGTCAGGGAGGTTCCAGGCTTCCAACACAGGTTTCCACAGGGCACCAGCCTCTGATCTCCCTCCTTACTGGCCTGGGTGCGGCCAAGCTTAGTGGTGAGGGGGTCAGTGCACCCAGCCACTCCCTGCCTGGCAGCCCTTGCAGGCCACTGTCCCCTGTGGCTTGAGTTTCCCATCTGTGGAGAGAGAGGTCTTGGACTGGCTTTCTCTGGATCTCCCTCCTTTCCTCTAACCCATATGTCAGCGGCGAGAGATGGACTCTGCACTGGAGCAGGAGCCACAGAAAGAGGCTGGGCAAGGGTGAGGGAGGCCGTCACAGGCCTCTTACCTTCCAGGTTGCACACGATTGTGAATCCCCATAGACCACCTGTGTGTGCGTGAGAGGGTGCCTGTAAGTGCAGAGGAACATGCCATGCAGCAAACACACATGTACATAGGTGAGTGTGTACCAGAGTGTGTGTGCACACCCAGCCCTCCCTGTCCACATGCACAGCGTGTCCTCCAGGGCTGGTGTCCAAGGCTGTGGTGATGGTGGGCTCGAGTCAGGCCTGCTCCCGCCACCTGCTCACGTCCCACGTCCCCGAGGAGAAGAGCAGCACTGCCTTCCTGCAGTCAAGGACTTTCATCCCTGCAATAAGCCCCACTTCATTCCCTTTTTAAACTGTATAATTTCTGCCTGATTGTAATGGCCTATTTTAAAATTACCAGAAATCAAAGCCGGGAAGTGGATACTGCAGCTTTTATTGCGTCTCTGTGTTAAGGCTGGCGACTGGGGGGGCCGGTGAGAATCACCTCCCTCCCCTCCATCCCCCACTTTCTCTCTGTCTCTCGCTCTTTTTTTTTTTTTTTTTTTTTTGAGACAGTAATAGGAGAAAATTGGTTTTGAAACTGAATAAAAGTCCCTTTCAGAGGAAATCATTTCTTTCAGGGTACCTTTGCTGAAAGTAAAATAGGGCATAATGAAAGGTGGTTACGCGATTGTCTTTCATTTACCGAGAGGCCAGGACAGACGGGAGGCTGCAACCGTCTCCGGGAAATACAAGATTGGAATAATTGCGCCGTAACAAGGAGCTTGTTGTGAAATTAGTATCTTAAGAAAGTAGTGAAAAAAGGCTTTTCCTCATGAATACTTCATTATTAGAAGAAAGCGGCAGAATTTAGGACTCCAGACACCTGTTCAGTATTAAATAACTTCCCTTTCTTCCCCTTCAGCACACACCCCCTCTGCTTTCTTTTTTAAAACCAACATGAAGATTGAGGTGACCTAGCTTGGCTGCTCAGGACTGGGGGGGGTGGTCAGGAGGTGGCGGGGACAGGGTGCCCAGGTGGATGGACATCAGGGGTGTCCAAGGTTGCACTTACCCTGAGACCTGCCTTCTCCTTAGCAAGAAGGGAGGAAGGGACCTCTAGGTAAGCTCTCACCACCACGCTCCCATGGGGGCCTCACAAGCAGACGCACTCTGACCCTGCCGCTCAGGGGCTTCGGACTCTCAGGAATGTGCCTGGGCGTCCTGAAACGTTCTCTGCAGGAGAGTGGGTTTGGGGAAGCTGAAGGCGAGTGTCCATGTGAATGTCAGGCTCTGGCTGTGGGGGGAGGTACCACACGGGCCTGTGTGCAGCCACATCTGAGCTGCTGCCCTGAGGGGCACAGGCCTCTGCCCTTCCCATTCAGGGTAAGGAACTTAGGCAGCGACAGGGATCTCAGGTCAGAGCAGCCTTGGTGGCCCATGAGGGCTGGGCTCAGGGTGCAGGGGGCTGTGAGGATACTCTGGGCGGGAGGACAGACCAGTACTGCAGTAAGCTGGGACACCCCGTACCCACTGGCATTTCCCGAGCACCCCTCTGTGTAGACGCCCAGGATGACCAGGTGGGGTCTTCAGGCTGACTTGCTTACAGGGGGCCACCACCAGCTGGAAGGACAGCCTACTGCGGGGCATGGCGGGAGTGAGGATCTGACCCAGTTGGGGGCATCAAGGCAGGCCCCAGAGCAGGTGACCCATACGCCAGCAGGGCCAAGGCATGTCTGATCCATCAGCCCAGCCCACACTCAAGAGCCCTGGATTGTCCCTTCCCATGAGGCCACGGATGGGCCTCCTGATGCCTCAGGCCTTGGTCCCCTCATTGGTCAAATGAGGGAAAAGGGTGTCTGCTTTGAGAGTCTCTGATGTTCTTCAGGGTTGCAGGGAGACTCCCAGTGGGGAATGGGGGGAGGCGAACATGGAGCAGCCCCCAAGTGACAGAGCACCCCATCTTCCTCCTGCAGGGACCCTGCCGCAGAGCGTGCCCCACTGGGGACCCCCAGCTCAGCCATGCTGGCCTGTCTGCAGAGGACCCAGAACCCCCCGGGCCAACACCTGGCCCGCCCGAGCAAGAGCCTGGAGCTGCGCAAGTGTGAGTAGGATGCCTCCCCAGCCTTTGCGGGGCAGGTCGCGGGCAGAGAATGCCATTTACCCCCGAGGACGTTCACCCACCATGGCCCTGTCAGAAAGTCGGTATGCTCTCTTAGGCCCCCAGGCCTTGGCCACGGCTGTGCTGCCTTCCTGGTCTCGCTCTCCAAAATGACACCCACTCCTTTGGCCAGCTCCCGTGGAGCAAGACTGTCAACTCTGGCTTGACCTTCTTCCCAGCAGCCTCTTCTGACCACCACCATCACCATGCCCCAACCCGGCCTCTGCAGCTTCACCACCATTATCTCGCCGTGTCTGTCTCCCTTACCACCATTAAAGTAGGATGACATGGAAACAAAAAATACAGAATGGGGTTCCCGCTTGAGGCCCATCAGCTGTGTGGTCTTGGGTGTTTCCTTCCCTCTCTGGCCTTGCTTTTTCACTGGGAGCTGGACCTGGTGACCAGGGGTCTGTTCTCACTATCTAGGACCAGGATCCCAAACACTCTGATTTGGTTATTTTTAGCTAGCATAATTTCTTTTTTAATGAAGAACTTAGAAATGAGATTTGCATTAAAATCTGGATTTCTAGTATCTCTTGAAAAAAACAAAAACAGAGGCTCTGGTAACATAGGCCTGTGTGCCTGTACTGCAGCCATGACTAGAGCTGAATGACTGCCTCTTTTAAAGGGATGTCTGTCTCCAGGTCACCGCAGTCCCCACCCCTCCCTATTGCTTCTGTCCTATAGCCCAGGATCTGTTGCCGTTTAGCATGATGCTTACGATGTGAAAATATTTTTTCTTTTAAATATTTATCTTTAGACAAGGGAACACATTCATGTTATCCAACACTCGGAGGAAGGAAGGGGTATATAGACAAAAGCCTCCCTCTGAGCCAGCCACCCGCTTCCCTCGCGGAGGGAGTCCATGTCGTCAGCTTCCTGGGTGTCCTTCTAGATGTTTTATGGGTGTCCCAGCAAATACGTGTGGACACGCATATTTTACACACTATCCTGCACCTCACTGTTTCCCTTTGTCATCTATTCTGTATATCAGCTTCTAAAGAGCTTCCTCATTCTTTCGCCGCATAGTTTCTCTAGCAGGGGTGGCCCATAATTTATTTGGCCAGTCCTCTATTTAGACTGTAACTGACCTGTTGCCGTTACAAGCAGTGCAGCGGTAAACCTTGGATGTGTCACGAGGATGTGGATAAAACTGCAGGGTACATTTCTGGAAGTGGAAATACCAGGTCAAAGGGATGTGTGTGTGGCATTTTGATAGCTGTGGTCTGATGGACATCTTTAGATGGTGTATCTGTGGACACCTCACATTGTGGTGTGAGGGTCTGTTCCCCACCCCTCACCATCACAGCATCATATCACACTTTTAGGTTTTGCTCACCTGAGCAGTGAAAATAGGATCACAGTGTGGGTTTTATTTTGTTTTGTTTTGTTTAGGGAGACAAAGTCTAGCTATGTTGCCCAGGCTAATCTCAAACTCCTGGCCTCACGCCATCCTCCAGCCTCTGCTTCCTGATCAGCTGAGATTACAGGCGTGAGCCACTACACCTGGCTACAGTGTAAACTTAGTTTTATATGAATGAGGTTGAGTATCTTTTTGTGTCTATGCCATTTGTTTTTCCTTTGACTAATCTACTTATCTCCTTGGCTCCTTTTTCTTGGGGGGGTGGGGGGTGGTTTTTGTCCTTTTTGATTTGTAGGAGCTATTTGTATATTTGTATGTGATGGAATCATACCTCTGTGCTATGAGTTGAAGATATTTTCCCCAAATTGGTTGTTTTTGATTCTGCCATGGAGGAGTTTTGTTGGGGAAGTGAGACTTATCCTTTTATGGCCTTTGGATTTTACTTAGAAAGCAAAATTCGGATCATACTTAGAAAGTCCTTCCTCAGGCTGAGATTATTATTTTTTAATTCCCCCAGGTTTCTTATAGATCTTTGATGGTTTTTTTTTTTTTTTTCTTTTTTGAGACGGAGTCTCGCTCTGTTGCCCAGGCTGGAGTGCAGTGGCCGGATCTCAGCTCACTGCAAGCTCCACCTCCCAGGTTTACGCCATTCTCCTGCCTCAGCCTCGCGAGTAGCTGGGACTACAGGCGCCCGCCACCTCGCCCGGCTAGTGTTTTGTATTTTTTTTAGTAGAGATGGGGTTTCACCGTGTTAGCCAGGATGGTCTCGATCTCCTGACCTCGTGATCCGCCCGTCTCGGCCTCCCAAAGTGCTGGGATTACAGGCTTGAGCCACCGCGCCCGGCCTTTGATGGTTTTTAAGAAATGTATGAGGACTGGCGTGGTGGCTCATACCTGTAATCCTAGAACTTTGGGAGGCCAAGGCAGGCGGATCACCTGAGGTCAGGAGTTTGAGACCAGCCTGGCCAATATAGTGAAACCCCATCTCTACTAAAAATACAAAAATTAGCCAGGCATGGTGGCACACGCCTGTAATCCCAGCTGCTCGGGAGGCTGAGGCGGGAGAATCGCTTGAACCCAGGAGGCAGAGGTTGCAGTAAGCCATGATAGCTCCACTGCACTCCAACCTGGGTGACAGAGTGAGACTTGGTCTCAAAAAAAAAAAAAAAAAAAGGTATGATCTCTGTATGACCTATATTTTATTGGGTACAAAGCGTGAGGTATGGATCCAAATACATTCAAGTATCAGTGCAATACTGTTTTAATTATTATGTTGTTTTAAAAAGCCTTATTGAAATATAATTCATATACCATTCACCAATTTGGAGTGTACAATTCAATGATTTTTAGTATATTCACAGCATTATGCAGCCATCATCACAGTCAATTTTAGAACATTTTCATCACCTCAAGAAGAAAACCGACACCCATCAGTAGTCACTTCATCTCTCCCCACCAATTTCCCTACAATTTCTCTACAATTTCCCTATTCTGGACTAGTGACTGACTTTTTTCACTTAGAATAACATAAGTTCATCTGTGTTGCAGCATGTATATATCCAGGTTGAGTAGCCCTTATCGGAAATGCTTGAGACCAAAGTGTTTTGAATTTTGGAAAATCTACATTATACCAGTTGAGCATCTGAAATGCTCCAATGAGCATTTCCTTTGAATGCCATGTCAGCAGTCAAAAACTTGCAGATTTGGGAGCACTTTGGATTTTAGATTTGGGGTGCTCAACCTGTAATACTTTTTTTTTTTTTTTTGAGACAGAGTCTCGCTGTTTCCCAGACTGGAGTGCAGTGGCACAATCTTGGCTCACTGCAGCCTCCGCCTGCCAGGTTCAAGCGATTCTCCTGCCTCAGCCTCCCGAATAGCTGGGATTACAGGCACGCACCACCACACTTGGCTAATTTTTGTATTTTTTAGTGGAGATAGGGTTTCACCATGTTGGCCAGGCTGGCCTTGAACTCCTGATTTCAGGTGATCTGCCCACCTTAGCCTCCCAAAGTGGTGGGATTACAGTCATGAGCCACTGTGCCCAGCCATGTAGTACATTTTAGTATTTGGTAGAGGTTGTTGCTCCTTGTTCTCACCCTCTACCCAAATTTCCTTGGCTCTTTTATTATTTTCCTGTCTGAACTATAGAATCAATTTATCTAGGTCAAAACAAAAATCCTATTTGTGTTTCTACCGGGATTGCATTACATTTACAGATGAATTTAGGAAGAAATGACACTTTTATGATGCTGCCTTTCCCACCAAAACATGATACACTTCTTCATGTCTCTCAGGAATGTTTTAACATTTGCCTGGTTGAAATCTTGCACATTGTTTGGTTAAGTTTATTTCTGGATAGTTTAGCTTTTTTAGCTAGTCTTGTCTTCCACAAATGAAGGTTGCTTATATGAAGGCTGTTAAGTTCTGCCACCTTACTGAATTCTTTTATTGTTCCCAACAGTTTTTCAATTTAGGTGCTTGGGTTTTCCAGTTATTCTATCATATGGTTTACAAATGATAAATTTACCCCCTATTTTGTTTTATACCTTAATTTCTTTATTTAATAGTTGGCTACTATTTCTGGAACAATGAAACAATAATAGTGGTGATAATAGACATTCTTGCTTTGTAGCTTCTAGATTTTCCCATTAAGCAAATTCTGGCTTTGGGGCAGATAGTTTATCAGGTTAAATAAGTCTCCATCTATTCCTGTTTTGTTGAGGATTTTAAAAATCAAGAATGGAAGGTGAACTTTGCTGAAAGACTTTTCAGTGTTTATGATCACATTTTTTCCCATTTGTGAATTAATATGAATAATAGATTTTTTAATATTGAACTATCCTTGCATTCCAAATTAAACCCCAGTTGGTCATGGTAAATATTTCTTTATAATATACTGCTGGATTGGATTTGTTATTTAGGATTTTTGCCTCAGTCTCGTCAAAGAGATTGTTCTTTGGTTTTCTTTTTTTGGAACAATTTTGTTTGGGTTTTCCTATATTGCACTCACATCATGAAGAAAATAGAGGCTTTCCTTCTTTCTCTTTGCTTTGAACAGTTTAAATAGACATGGAATTATCTGTTCTTAAAAGTTTGGTTGATCCTCCATGAACCTGTTTGGGCTAGTGCAGTTATTTGGGGTGAGTGGGTAGCTCTTTGATAATGCTATTTCTTCACTAATAATTAGTTTGATTGTTCTGCTTTTTGAATGATTTTAGTAAATTATGTTTCTCTAGAAAAGCATCCATTTTATCCAGGTCTTCAGATTGACTTGCAGTAGTTTGAACTAAATAATTTTTACAACTCTTAAGTGATGAGTTCACCCTTATTTCTTATATTGTATATTTTGTGCTCTTTTTCCTGTTTTTCTTCATTAGGTTAGTTAGCTAATGATACTATCTATCCCCTTTCCCCAAAGATTCATCTTTAGGATTTATTTATTAGTAATTATCCTTTTCTGGTTTCTAACTCATTAATTTATGCTTTTATCTTTATTAAAACCTTTCTGCTTTTAGTTTTTTTCCCTTAGAGAGTTACATTTTTACATTAATTTTTTTAAAAAAAGGAAAAATTCAGGCTACAAGGCTCTGAGCACTGCTGAATTGTATGTAGTATTTTCATTATTATTATTTTCTAGATATTTTAAATTTTAACCTAAGACTCATTTGAGTCCCACACATCCACTCAAATAGTAGGTGTTTTGTGTGTTTTTTTGTTTGTTGTTTGTTTTGAGATGGAGTTTCGCTCTTGTTGCCCAGGCTGGAGTGCAATGGCATGATCTCGGCTCACTGCAACCTCCGCCTCCTGGGTTCAAGTGGTTCTCCTGCCTCAGCCTCCCGAGTAGCTGGGATTACAGGCTCCTGCCATGATGCCCGGCTAATTTTGTATTTTTAGTGGAGATGGGGTTTCTCCATGTTGGTCAGTCTGGTCTCGAACTCTCCTGGCCTCAGGTGATTCGCCCATCTCAGCCTCCCAAAGTACTGGGATTATGGGCGTGAGCCACTGCGCCCAGCCTTGTGTTTTACTTCTAGGGTGGTGGTAGTGTTTTTATGATCAGAGAATCTTATCTACTATTTCTACTTTTTAGGAATTTTTTGAAACTTTCTTCATGATATAACCTATGGTAATTGTTGTAAGCTTTGTGGATTTTTTTATGGAGACTTAAAAAGTCACTTTGTTTTCAGGATTCAGTTTGGTGTATACCAATTTTATCTCCCATTAATTAGGCTATTAGGTTTTCTATATCCTTACTTAACTGTCATGGATAGAGAAAGGAACTAGACACCTACTGCTAACATGTTCCTGTCTATGTCTTCTTGTAGCACCTGTATCTTTGGCTTTTTGAATGGTGATGCAATGTTATTTAATGCATAGATATTAATAACCTTAAATCTTCATAGTGAATTATATCCTAAGAGATAAAATTGAATCCAGGCCAAAAAGTCCAGGATTCAATTGTATCTATTAAAATGGTAATCTCTGCCTTTTAAATTCACATTTTTCTTAAAATCTTTGCCAATCCTTTTATTTCAGCTTTTCTGAATTACTTTGTTTAGATGTGACTCATATACTATAGAGTTGGATTAAGCTTTGTGGTCCAGTCTGAATGCCCTTTTTTTCTTTTAATAGGAGAGTTAGGCCATTTACATTTATTGATATGACACATGTCTGGTCTTAGTTCAGTCATTTGTGCTTTATTTAAATTGTCCTAAAAAGTCTTTAACCGTGTGATTTGTGTTCTCTGCTTTGTTTTGTGTACCTACTAATCATAAGGAAGGTTAGTGGCTTTTTTCTAGTGGTATAACTATTCTTTAATTCTTTTTTTTTTTGAGACGGAGTCTCGCTGTGTCACCCAGGCTGGAGTGCAGTGGCCGGATCTCAGCTCACTGCAAGCTCCGCCTCCCGGGTTCACACCATTCTCCTGCCTCAGCCTCCCAAGTAGTTGGGACTACAGGCGCCCACCACCTCGCCCGGCTAGTTTTTTGTATTTTTTTTAGTAGAGACAGGGTTTCACCATGTTAGCCAGGATGGTCTCGATCTCCTGACCTCGTGATCCGCCCGTCTCAGCCTCCCAAAGTGCTGGGATTACAGGCTTGAGCCACCGCGCCCGGCCATTAATTCTCTATTTCTTTAGAATAGTATCTATTATTTTCCCTAAGAGGAATAAAACAATGAAATTGGTAGATTTTCTTTTTCTCTCCACAATATTTTTGTAGAGTTCACTTCATATTTTCAAACCTCTATTATCTAACATCAGTTTTAATGATATCTTTTGATTCCAGCTATTAAAGATGAGGATATCAGGCTGGGCACAGTGGTTCACACCTGCAGTCCCAGCACTTTGGGAGGCCAAGGTGGGCGGATCACTTGAAGCCAGGAGTTCGACATAAAGACTAGGATATCAGTCTACTTATAATCCTGTCCCCTTCTTTCCTCCTTCCTTTCTCGTTTGTTATTAGCAATGCTATTACTGTATTCTCAGGGCTTATAACAGAGCATCTGGTATGTCACCACAATCCCCACATTTGTTTCTTTAATAAGAATAGT